ACCTAAATAAATAGAATGGACTCTATGGATAGATGAACTCTACCCGTAACGTCCATTCCATTTATGTATCCTATTAATATAATGCCAATAGCATTCATCATCATTAAAGTCCTTCACAAGTCCACTGCTGAACATAGGCCTCCCCCAAGGAATGCCACAAAGCACGGTCTTGAGCCACCTGCATCCAACAACTTCCTGTATGTCTTACCAGGTTTTCACTCCATCTAGTGGGGGAATTTCCGACACTTTTATCTGCCGGTACGAGGCTGCCACTCGAGAACCTTTTTTCCCCATTGGTTATCGGTACTTCGAGCAATATGGCCGGTCAATTGCCACTTCAGCTTACTAATCCGTTGGGCAATGTCAGTCACTCTGGTTCTACTGCCCATATTCCCATTCCTAAGTTTATCCTCCTAAGCATTCCAGCTTCGGCAGTGCCAGGTATTCTAGGGGGGTTGACATATCGTAATCCATTGGTTCTTGATCGAACACTTAATTGCTTTTGTCGGTGGATGTTGCGCAAGAGGGAGCTGCCAAAAACCTATGTAAACGATGGCCAGAATTTGTAAATAAGAAATAAACTATAGTGGGGCCGCTACGAAGTTAAAGCACAAATTAAATCTTGAGACTCGAGAGAGAATTGAATCTCTAGATTCGCACTTCCTAAAACCCCATGGTGTTCTACATCTGACTCCACCTGCACTACGAACTCCCCAAGCCCGATATGTGAATGGAGCCAGGAAAAACGAGCTCTTGGAAGCATCAAGTGGTGCAGCCTCACCATAGTCGCGAATGATAGTCGAGTGGCATCTTGTCGCCAATCGCCATACCAACACTCCTCTTCCTTGACGACTCCACCTCGACTACAGCGGTGCAGGGAAAGGAATCTCCTCTAGCCGCAGCCCACTAACACTCATCCAACGTGGCTCAACATCATCAGGCGACCTTTCGACACTTGGCTATGACCCTTGAGTTTGTGGAAAAGTGAGAAAAGAAGAAATAAATAAAAACATTCGAAATAATAATCTAATACTTTTATACTTACTGGTACCTACTGGTACTACCAGAAAATATTGTCGAAATACTGCACTTTGAAAGTGTTGTAGTTCTCATGTCTAATAAAACAGTCGTCTGTGAAATGTTCCGAACAAGTATGATCATTTTGTTTCGGACGCCAATTCAAACAGTCCTCGACACTACAGATAATTTCTTCGTACGGTAATTTGCGGGGTGTAATTGCAAAGTTGAGGCCTTTGGATAAACATGCAACAATTAGGGTTAGCGTTAAAGAACCTACGCAATAAACACGAACTTGCGATTCTCCGCGCAGATAAGGGAAACGCCACGGTAGTCATGGATACGTCAGATTATAATTCTAAAATACAAGAACTTTTGTCGGATGTAAGTACTTATAAAAAAGGTTAAAAACGACCCAACAAATAGCACACTAAAAACAACTAGTGACCTCATAAAGAAACACTCCGAAAAATTAAATCTGGACGTAAAATGGATAATACCTACGTGCGCCAAATCACCAAAATTGTATGGGTTACCAAAAATACACAAGCCCAATGCTCCATTACGTTCCATAGTGAGCCAAATCGATTCACCAACTTACAGATTGGCTCAACACTTAGCGAAAATACTCTCACCTCTCAGGGGACATACAAGAGCACACATAAAGGATTCCTACCATTTTGTCAGCGAGATTAAAGACCTACATCTGGCAGACAATGAAACTATGGTCAGTTTTGATGTGCAGTCATTGTTTACATGCTTACCTGTTGAAGACTGCATCTCAATTGTAACTAGAAGGCTAGAAGAAAACAACATGCCCGTAGAATATGCAGTATTACTCAGACACTGCCTTACATCTGGCTACCTATTGTGGAAGGAGGAGTTCTACAAGCAAGTAGATGGTGTGGCGATGGGCTCACCTGTATCTCCCATTGTCGCCGACATATTCATGGAAGACTTTGAGGAGAAAGCCTTGCTTAGTTCTCCCATAAATCCAAGGTTCTACAAGCGGTACGTAGACGACACTTTCACAATTCTACCTTTAGATAAAGTAACTGCATTTTTAGACCATCTTAACTCTATAAATTCTAAAATTCAGTCCACAATGGAGTTAGAGGCAAACAATTCCTTAGCTTTTCTAGATGTGTTAGTAATTCGGAATCCTGATAACACCTTGAGCCATACTGTGTATAGAAAAAAGACCCATACAGATAGATATTTAAATGGTGATTCTCACCACCATCCTTCACAGTTAGCTACCGTGGGTAAATCTTTGTTTCAGAGAGCACGAGGGATCTGTGACAGTAAACACCTGGCTGCAGAGCTCCACCATGTCAAGCAAGTTTTGCATGACAACAAGCTTCGAGTCCCGCGCCTACGTCACAGTGAACGAGTGAAGCCGGCCACAGTCGAGCGTGTACCTGCTGTAATGCCATATGTTAGAGGAGTCACTGACAAGATTGGCTACATCTTGAAGCGCGCTTCCATCAAAAAATACTTCAAGCCGCTGAAGAAGATTGGTCAGTTTTTACCATCGGTCAAGTGTAATGTCCCTCTGCAAGATGCAGGAGTGTACAAGCTTAATTGTGAATGTGGTCTCTCCTACATAGGACAAACTAAAAGATCAATAAAAACCCGCGTTAAAGAACATATAGCTGATGTGAAGAATCGACGCTCCGGGAAGTCTGCAGTCTGTGAACACGTACAGGATCGCCCCCGTCACTACATCAGATTTGATAGACCGCAGATCCTCGCTAAAGAACACCGATTCCTTCCAAGGATGATTCGCGAGGCTATTGAAATCAAAAAACATCCTAATTTCAATAGAGAAGATGGCTGGGTGCTACCATCTGCTTGGGATCCTATAATAAATAAAATTAAATCCCAACCCAAGCATACAACTGCAAGACTTCAAGATACCATAAGTTCATACTGCATAGATCGGAACAAAAGTTAAATTTTAATCTATGGTAACCGCGGTTAACTATGACATATGGACGTTGAACATCTCAGTCCTGCCCGTGACCATGAGTGCTGTAAAGCGTTCGAAACGTCGGGTAATTAAAAAGTTAAATACACGCGATAAATTCCGTAAAAACTAGTATTATTTCATTGCGTTGCATAGTTGAGCCACGTTGCCATAGCATCCACCACGCGAAAAGCATAGATTTATAATGAAATACCGAAAAAGTCGTAAATACCGGTTTCCGTTCACTCAATCCCGGTATTTTAAAGTTTTCGTTTCAGTCCGGTATCCCGGTATTTTCGAGATTCGGGATCCCGGTTTGCGACCCCTAATTCCACCTGTTTAACTCTAATTGGCGATGTTAATAGTATATGGTTACTCAAATGTAAACGTTGCATATCGCTGGTTTCCATAGCGCGATAATCCGCAAAAACTCTTTGTAATTGTGCATTCGTAAATTTAATTTTACATTTTGATCTGCATTCTTTTAGTTCACCTACAGATTTACCCAATATTTTTTTCCCTGCTTGATTTATGTATTCTTCCCACTTTTGAATTTTTTCTGTTCTTTTTTTACGGAGTTTTCTTTGCATCATACCGACACCACGCTAACTTTTTCTTCTAACGTCATCCTGCGTTTGAGAAACCAATGCTGGGATAACAATGCTTCCAATACTTCTAGGGGTAGATGTCTTGCTAGATGACGATGATGACACGTGTTCATCGTGTGTACCAGCAGGGAACCAATTACAATCCTGCACATCGTCATCAGAACTATAAGCTCGATTGCCTGACGGGCTGGGCAGAGATTGTAAAATATCTTGCTGAGCTACGGCAGTACCTGGCGGACCGGGCAGAGATGACAAAATATCCTGCTGAGCTACTAGAGTACCTGAAGGGCTGGGCAGAAATTGCAAGATATCCTTCTAAGCGAATGGAATACGTTCTCTCATACATTGTTTCACAGCTAAATCCTAAAATGAAAAAAAACAACGTACCTACGTAAGTTTACGGTCATTATGTTTTGTTCAGAGTTCGTTTAATATAAAATATACTAGGCACGAGCAGTCATATTAATTATTACAATATTGCTCACTAAAACGCATACTTACTCGTACTTTAAAAATGAACACTTTGACGCGCTTTGAATAAAATAACGATAAAAATAATGAAGAGGTGTTAGTGCAGTGCCTCGGCAAAAATTGAAGGTGCAAAAGCCCGCTTGTGCATATGGCCCCACCACGAAACGGCGCCGGGTCTGGGCGTCTCCCGTTAAATGGCACCCACTTATATGGATGATGGAATACGGAAGAACGCGCAAAGGGCCGCTGCCTGGAGGTCGCCAGGGCGCGGCTGGAGCTGGCGCTGGACGCGACAGCATGCGAACCGTCAGCCGAGCGAGAGGTGCTGCACAACCACCCATCAGCCCCTCGCATCCATCATCCCCACCAGCTGGCTTGGTGTCGGCAGGGTCTTCGCGGGCCCAGCAATCGGCACCCGCCACTGGTGGATTACGCCGCATGCGATGGACAATCGAAATGAATACCAACGCACTGCGGGCGTATTTTAGGGCGAAAGGGGGAGAAGTTGGAGGTTTGGCATATCGGGCTATGATGCATCGTCTTTTTGCTGAGCTGGAGCAATCTATAACCGTCACAGAGCAAAACCTGGCAAACCGAGTTCGGTATATCTCGCGCTCAAATATATTTGATGTCGCCGAACTCGAACGGCTACGACGTGAGGCTGTTCCTTCATCGGGTGAAAATGCTACGGCTGAGGATGCGGTGCCACAACTTTCAGAGCAAACGGCAAACGTGGATGCCGCCGTCAAAACCCAGTTGTGGTTGATTCAAACGATGATGAACAGTCGCCCAGGAACTGGAACTAGAGCAAATGAGGAGTACATTGGAAGAGGCGATTGTGGAAACGCGCAGTACTCCTCTCGAAAATCGACCGCGACTTCCCCGCATAGCCCATAAACAAGCGGAATCGGGCTGTCGTGAGGGCTCTGAACCCAATGCTGGTTACCTATTTAGAAGCCAGCCGGGAACTTTGCGAGACGGACTCAATTCTTTTTGGCGCCGCACTGGCACTATGCCGTATTATAGGCGCCAAACTTTCCACGGCTGGACGCGCTACTGGACAAAGTAGTGCTATCCCAGCCTGGAGAATAAGAATTGAAGAACGTATCGCAAAGGCTAGGGCCCTCATCGGCAGACTGATGTGCTTTAGGTCAGGCAATACCAGGCCAAGGATTGTGCGCACCGTCAGGATGGCGTTTGCTGGGATAAATGTCAGTTTGTCCCAGCCGGATATAATGCAAAAACTGACGGAGCGCATAGACGACCAGAAGCAGAGAATCGCTGCTTGAGGAAAGCGGATTCGGCGATATACCGAGAGGTCGACATGGTTCAACCAGAATCGTCTCTTCCAGAGTGATCAGAAGAGGCTCTAAGTCATTGGAGCGACCAATGGTAAGTGGAACGGGCCCAGCACCGAATCAGGCCGACACAGTCGCATTCTGGCACAGCCTGTGGTCAGAGCCCGTAAACCTCAGTGAGGCCCTTGGGCGGAAGTTGTGGCGAGTCAATGTGCGGGTATTACGCCCATGGACCCCGTCATCATAACGCCGGATGACGTAGCCGAGGCGGTCCGTAGGGCCCCGAACTGGAAAAGTCTGGGGCTTGACGGGCTGCATCACTACTGCTTGAAGGGGTTCATGGTGTGTCACGCTGTGCTCGCCCGACAGTTTCAAGAGGCTCTCAACCAGAAGTCGCTCCCAAGCCTCTTCACTACTGGTATCACTCATTTAGTTCCTAAAGACCAAAGTACCACAGACCCGAGCAAATACCGCCCCATCACGTGTCTACCAACCATATATAAGACACTAACATCCATTTTGAGCACGAGAATCACTCGTCACCTGGACGCAAATCAGGTGATGTCGCGTGCTCAAAATGGATGTCGGGTTGGCGGTCGTGGAACCAAGGAACCACTCTTCATTGACGCGGTCCTTGGCAAAGTGGTGAAACGCAACCGTCGGAACTTCAACACCGCCTGGATAGACTACAGAAAGGCAGTAGACTCGGTGCCCCATACATGGCAAAAGAGGGTCCTCGAGCTGTACAAGATTGACTGTACAGTTCGAGACTTTCTCGGGCAGTGTATGGGGCAGTGGACTACGATCCTCTGTCATCTAGGCGAGAGGATGACGGCTGCAGAAAGCCGCATAAGGATAAGAAGGGGTATATTCCAGGGCGACTGTCTGAGTCCAATCTGATTCTGCTCTCTTTGAACCCTCTCAGTACTTTACTGGAGGGCTCCGGGAGGGGATTTCAGCTTCGGAAAGGAGGTACAAAAGTGACCCACCTTTTCTATATGGATGATCTCAAATTATTCGCCTCCAGTCGCTCCCAGCTAATGGAATTGCTAAACATCACTTGTGAATTTAGCAATTCTATTGGAATTTGGAGCTGGAATTGTGTCCTCCATGTTGAAAGGGGAAGGGTTGCTAACTCTGAGGGCATAGACTTGTCTATGCCCGTCAACTTAGGGACCCTTTTCGAGGCTGAAACATACCGATACCTGGGTATGTAACAGAACATCGGTATCAATGAGGCTGGTATGAAACAGTCAGTTTGCGACAAGTTTTATGCACGCTTGACCAAAGTGCTTAACAGCCTTTTGTCCGGTGTGAATAAGGCACACGCATATAACGGCTGGGTCATGCCTGTTCTCATGTATACCTTTGGCATACACAGGTGGACACAGACTGAACTTAACGCCCTGGATAGAAAAGTCCGTACTACCATGACGTCCCATAGGATGCATCATCCGAGATCGTCGGTAATGAGGCTGTACTTGCCGCGAAAGCATGGTGGGCGTGGCTTCCTGAGCGCGCTCACCGTGCATAATCGCGAAGTGTGCAGCCTCCGTAATTACGATCGGATGATCCATTCTATATTAACGTCATTTCTAGTGATAAAGGGCTTACCCCTCTATCCTTAGCCAATGAGCAATGGCAGGACCCGGCAGTACAAAGCATTTCCGACCGGGAGACCGTATGGAAGGAGGAGTTCCACGGGAGGTACTACAGGGCTCTACATGAGCCCTTCGTAGATTCAGTCGCATCCCTCAACTGGCTACGTTTCGGTGACCTTTTTGGGAAAACCGAGGGTTTTGTCTGTGCAATACAGGATCAGGTTATTAAGACCAACAACTATCGGAGATACATCCTAAAGAATGGCACCGTCGACGTCTGTCGAGCTTGTCGCCATCCCGGTGAGTCACTTAGGCATGTCATCTCCGGTTGTTCGGCGCTTTCTAGCTCTGAGTACTTGCACAGGCACAACCTAGTAGCCAGAATTCTACACCAGGAGCTCGCTCTGAAATACGGTTTCGTGAACCGGAAATTGCCGTATTACAAGTACTTGCCGCAAGCCGTGCTCGAAAATGACCGGCTCTACTGGGACCGGGCCATCATCACAGACAGGACTATTCTTGCGAATAAGCCTGATACTGTGCGGATGGACCGGGCACAGTCAAGGATACTTTTGGTCGACATTACCATCCCGTATGACGAGAACCTCGTGAAAGCCGAAACAGATAAACGAACAAAATATCTGGACCTGGCTCACGAGGTGACCGACATGTGGGGTGGTCTGCCGGCCGAAATTATCCCTGTAGTCGTCTCTGCGAATGGGCTAATCCCAGTCAGCCTCTCTGGTCATCTGAGGCGACTGGGACTCCGTGATGGACCGCTCCGGGCTCAAATGCAGAAGGCGGTGCTCCTCGATACCGCCCGCATCGTCCGCCGGTTTCTTTCCCTTTCCTCCTAACCCTCGGCCGTTTGGTCTCCCCTGCCGAGGGCTTCCATCTGGTTGGATCTTACTTATTTATGTATTTTTTGTATTTATTTTATTTTATTGATATTTATGTATATTTATCTTTTCATTTTAATTTATAATTATATATTTATAGAACCCAACCAGATGAGAAAATTATATAGATACCCCCAAAATAATGATAAACATACCTCTGAATCTTTTTGCCTCATAGCTAACTCCAACAACTTCTTACAACGAGCACTCATCATTTAAACAGTAATTCATCATCATCATCATCATCAGCCTGCGGCAGTCCACCGCTGGACATAGGCCTCTCCCAAGGCGCGCCACTTAGCCCGATCTTCGGCTACACGCCGTAAACAGTGATTATAACCACACAGTACAAGTACAAACAGTAATTATAACCTATATTAATGTTCCTTTACCGGCGAAATAACGAAAACTAACAATAAACTACGAAATGTGCGATACGCGAAAAAATAATGACACGACACGTTATGACATGTTTCCCGCTAACCGAGTAATTTTTGATCATAAGTTGATAAGTGTGCTTTTGTCATAGGTATTCTGATCAATAAAATCAATCGGTCAGATCTAAATAAAATTACTTAACGCAATATGACCAAAACAAAGGTTGAAATATAAAAGTTATCATAATCTGATTAGTATTCAATACAACAGTACTATTTTGCATGTAGTTATCCTGATTGACCAAATGAAAGAGCATTTTTTGGCGATTATACCTATATTAATAAGTCATACTGAGCAAAAATGTATATATCTTTGTCTGATCTATGACCACAGATATATGATATTAAGGTTAGTAACAACTTTTTAAGTACTTATATTATCAAATAGTTTTAATTTGTTTAATATTTACTGCAAATTCACTTACTTTTGAAATGTTATACCACTTCCCTTTTGGTAACGAGTTTTACAGATTACGCACACTCTCATTATTAATAAAAACAATTCTTATTATGTAACTAATATTATACACAATCAAACAAGATAAAATACTTTCGTTTTTTAGTTTAAAAGTTCAAAATACAGATTTATTAAATAAGACAATATAAATAAGACAACAGACTTTGGCATATTATGTCAATTTTATTTTTCAAGACATCCTTTAGCGGCGCTTCAAATTGGCACAGTCATTTTATATGGTATAGCCAGTCCAGCGTACTTGTATATGTAGAGGTCAGTGCCTAATGGGGAATATGCTATTCCTTTTATCCACTATAAAGAGTCCATCCTGAGATATATCCTACCTTATTGCATTTATAATAAAAAAATTTACCTTAAGATGACTATTTTAGGGTAGATAAACGAAATAACCTCCTAATGGTAGGGTGCGGACCACGAACTCAAAGGTCGTGGGTTCGAATGGCGCCATTCAGCTACTGTCGTGAACCACATCTAACACAACCATTTTAAGCTTACCAGTAGTGGTTAAAGGAAATATTAGTAATTTTAATAGAATTCCTAGATTTTTTTATTTTAAAACACATGAACAATTGATGTCACGATAGATAGATAAAAGCGTTTATTTGTTTCTCCAATCACACACGTAAATTCAGTGACTTAAATAGATATAAAAACCAAAGTATTATGAAAAAAAAATACATAACTTAAGATCTAAATGTACATGTGTGTTGCAGTTTAACAAATGGGTCATTGCTCAGAGAGCAAACACTGATTTTCAACTATTAACCTCGAGGTGGCGAGAAGAAAATGAGCACAATAGTACAATCAGAAAGAAAGAAAGAAAAAGCTATATTTTTTGCACGTTAATATTATTGTAGTGTATATATTTGTGAATGATGTGTCCTTTCTGCTCTACGACTTATATCTTGGGTTTAATTTAGTAAAAAATGACGGAAAAGATGTGTAAAACTGCGTACCCAATTAAGGCTAGTACCTAAATGACTTAGCCAACCATGATGAGTTAGTAAAAGAAAAAAGAAAATGCCATGGTTTATAGCTGGCAAACGAAGTGTTTGGCAATACCTTGTTTTTGTTTATCTAGAAGATATGATATGTTTTGAATTTATTTTTAAGTTAAGATTTATTATTGGCGGTGGGATGTTATTCCAACACTTCGTTGCCATATATCGGAAATTGCCAGTAAATGCCGCTGTTTTATGGCTGTAATATAGGAGTGCTGATCTTATGGACCTCAATCAGTTCATCAATGTTAACAATCCAGGTGTGCCTACAAGGGATTGGTTACTAGCAGAATGTATTTAAAGCTATCAGGTACTCGTACGTATCCCACAAAAGAAAATCAGATATAAAACAACAACATTCGACTATAAATACTTTTATTATTCTATCAATAAATTATTTCGCATGAATCTGAAAGATATTTCGTCAGCACATATAGCCAGTCACTTAAACGCAGATTTCGTACAACCAATTTTCATATTGTAATTTTAGAGATTAAACATAATACTAAATAGGTAATATTTTAACAAACATGGAAGTAATTAGAAAAAATCAATTATTACTCAACAATTTGAAT